TGACATTTTAGCTTCATTTTTGTGTTCAAAAACATAACGTACGAAGAAATAGCTGTCTTTTTATTTTCACAATCAAACCAAAAGAAGAAGAAGAAGAAGTTGCTGAGCAGGGTTTACTGAGGCTAACACAGCTTGAAGGCAGAGCCGTGGCACCCTGGAATAAAAAAAAAAGAAAAAAGAAAAAAGGACAAAGCTGCAGGATAAATCCCTCGTGTCTGCCACATCAAAAGCAAAAACAGAACTTCAATGCTGCTTTGAGTTTGCATACAGCACTCACTGATTCACTGGCTCAACAATAAGCAAGTTTTTGCCACTTAGTTATGCTCAGAGGGCACGTCGACGAACCCCMAAGATGCATTTTCAAGACACTGAGACGATCCATTATGTCAAAAAAAAAAAAAAAGCCAAGTCAAACAGCCACCTTTCATCTCCCCCCCTTTGAGTCACTGCTGGCCACTAGCGCCCACTTTCCCTCGGCTCACTGCTGCGCCACAGAGCACAAGTGCCAATTTGGACAGGTTGGTGGTAAATGAAACAAACAGGCATCACTTTTCGCTCTCTGCTGAGAAGCACTCTGCCTGCAACCTCGACCCAAAATTGGCTGCCGCTGCATCAAACCCTCCACTTGTTATCATTAACTGCAGCTTTTTAGTTGTAAATGAGTCCAGAGTTTGGTGTGTTTGTGTGCTTAAGTGTGGGGGGAGTTTAAGGGAGAGCTGTGGGCTGATAAAGTTTAACTGTGTGATTTATGCGTAGCTTCATTTCCCACAAAACACGGATCGAACAAATAAGAAAAGACCTGAAGGTTTTGAAAGTCGCTGAAAAAAGGAACAAGCCAAAACTTCCAAATATAGRAACCTGACGTCCACTCACAGAGCTATGTCTAATGCATGCTTTTTTAAAAAGCAAAAACTATTTTTTTCTTAGTCAGACACAGGTTATAGTTGGAATTAAACCCTCAAACCTGCCACAAAATGTTTAGAAACTTTTAAAGTGCATACATATTCATGTGATGCTGCCTTTTCACGCAGTGTAATGGCAGCAGATCCACTCAGGGGAGCACTTCTGTCTAATATGCATGTTCCAAAACAGCCATCATAATCAGAAAACTGCCTTGAAAAAAACGCTATAATTACTGGCATAAATCAGCATAAAACACCTCTCACAATGAAGTGCATGAATTACCTAAAATGTGACTTTTTTAAAGATAAGATAGACATTTTACAATAAAAATCTTATACTAATAACTCTAAAATTTAGGTCAGAATTAGATAGTTGGAAAATAAAAAATCTATTGATGAATGCTGAATGAAAGTGGCATGTGCAAGTTAAATCACTAAAACAAAACAACAGTGGAAAAAAAACATTTTAATACTTATATTTAAGTTAATATTAAGATAGTAAAGTAATAAAAACAATTTTTAGAACAAATCTGAAAGTCAGATTCCAAGTGATGATCTCTGATGTCATTTACTAGAGTTTATTCATCAGCAAAACATTATTAWTAATTATTAAACAGCTGAAATCTCATCTCAAACAAAAAACATGGTAAAATGTTTCACTATAAAAACTACAGCTTCTAGCCTTTTTGGTTCTCGGGTCTAAAAAGCAAAATTTGAAATGAAGCTTTTTGTTATTATTTATTGTTGTTTTCGAGATTAGGTGCAAAAAAAAGAGATTAAATGATTAGAATTCAACTTCATTCATTTATGATGGAATATTTTATTCTATATTAAAAACGTAATCAGAAAGCATTAAAATAGTTTTATATTGTGCAATTTTGATCATTACAATAATTGTAAATAATGATTGCTTTATCAGTTCTGTCATTTTATCACGAACATAAAAAAGGAAAAAGCTCTATAACGTCTCTTTAACAGTTAAATGAACTGCAGTTCTTATATAAAAAGCCTTTTTTAACATTTGCTTTCAGACCTTCTTTTGCACAGCATGCATGTTTTTATTAAACAGTTAGCATACGCTATAAWCTCATCATCTCACCATAATGTGAAAAACTTTGGTCGGTACTCCGGGGGAAATGCTAATACATTGCTCATCTTGACTTAAATTCACTTAGTCTAACTTATCTGCATTTGACTGCAGGTATTGGCAGTAAGATGACCCTGAAAATGTCAGAAAAACAACTTTGTCTTTTATGGTTTAAGCAAAAACTGCATTTTTTTTCTTGCTTTAAAACATGATTTTTTCCCCCCCTAAATCCAGTAATAGATAGAAACCAATAAAGGCGCAGTCATGCTGTCAGGTTCTGCAGTACTCAGGTGCTGGAGGACTGCATGGATTTGAGAAAGTAGCTGATAAATATTGCACAACATCTCACATAGAAGGTTTCACCGGGTCATCAYTCAGTAAAATCTGCTTTTATATTCACACCAGAGCAGCAATAACAAACAAATGAATAAAAAAAATGTTCATCAAGTGAGTGGTTTGTCAGGACACTAAACCAGCAACACAACACTACCACACAAAACCACAGAGCAAGGGAAGCCAGTGTGTAATCCGCCTCATCAACCTGCCAGGATCTACAACTGCWACACATCAGGGACTTTAATACCCTGCTCTGGAAATATCTATGCAAATCTACTGAAGTGAAGCAGAGACTGAACAGAAAAATAATAGGAGAATAAAAGCTGCTTTGACAGCACATTTTCTTCAAAGAATCAATCGCTCAGAGCTAAAATGTCTAACTCTGAGCTCTCGAGAAGCGGGGAAGCAAACACGAGATGAAACGGTAAACACTGCCGAAGCAACAGCAGGGACTTAGCAGCAGGTGAGTGAAGAATGAGAACATTTGATTAGCAAAGTAATGCCACCGACTTCAGTCAGCTTTTATAATCTCACTGTGGATGTGAAACCTGCAGAATGCACACGATCCAGTCCTATAGTAAAGTTCTGGTACTGTTCTGTGTTTTCAGCCTTCAAAATATTCACCTCAGGCCCTTAGCTTTTAGCTAGTCTTTAGCTACTTTTAGCTGGTATTTTTTTTTACTCTAGCTAGTCTCTTGCTACTTTCATCTCGTCACTTTAAACCAGCTGTGTTCTACTATTAGCTTCTAGCTTTCATTTTGGTGTTTTTATCTTTGCTACATTTAGCTTTAAGCTACTGTTTTGCTACTTTTATTATTAACCTCTTGCTACTTTTATCTTTTTTTGATAGTTTATTACTTTAAACCAGCATTTTTCCTTTTAGTTATAAGCTTCTATTTTGATATTTTAGCTAGTCTTTGCTACATTTAGCTTTAAGCTATTTTTGCCACTTTTATTATTAGCCTCTTGCTACTTTTTTCATTTTTCATTAGCCAGCATTTTTTACTTTAGCTTCTATATTGGTATTTTAGCTAGTATTTGCTACATTTAGCTTTAAGCTA